ATCTTTGAGACAAAATCATGTAACATCGCAAGTAACTGTTCAGCTAACACTTCAAAGTATCTAACTATGATTTGGAATAATGTAATGATTTTATCCCAATAATAAATACAGAGATTCAGTCAAGTTTCCAGCTACTTGTAATCATTGCGAAGGAATATGAATCATGTGACCACGCTAATGTGTCCACCATGGATTTCCGCGACGTGTTAATCACTTGAATAATTAAAAATACTCTAGTAGGGCTGATTTCTCCTTAAATATCAATTGTTACAGTCAGATTTAAGTTTTAATTCACAATCTGCAAAATAAAAAAAATTTTTTTTGAGGTTATTAATGAATCGCGGCTTTTATTTGAAATTCTTAAAGAGCATGCAAAAAAAAGCATAATAAAGTCTTTGTTATTATATTTTCATAATTTTATTTAAGAAAATGATTATAAATTAAGTCCTAATAATCCTTGCACGCAGATTACGTACTGTGCATTCGGACAATTGTAGCCTGATGCTGATTACGTGATGCAGGAGCACGTGTATGGGGATACTAATTTCAGATGGCGCAAACAGTACTTAGACTCTAGCCAATGAAAAATGAGAACGGTTTGTGCACGAAAGTATGCATGTGCACTGCAGACCATATATATATGTGTACTTTCGTGCACAAACCGTTCTCATTTTTCATTGGCTAGAGTCTAAGTACTGGTTGCGCCACCTGAAATTAGTTTGCTAGGTCGCCATCCCCATACAGACGCCCCCACTTATAGCTAAAGTACACTGATCCTTTTTTTATTTTTCTTTAGAACTATTCCTTTTTTTGCTTCGCACCCTACAGGCGCACTTTGGGCCCTTGAATCACTTTGAGATCTGAAATGTTGAAATACACTATCATTATAATATTCATTATCATTATCATCATCGTCATCGTCATCGTCATCGTCATCGTCATCATCATCCAGAAAGGAAGTCCCTGTACTACAGCTGTCAATGGGAGCGTCAGTGTACAAATTTTTCTGAAACATGTCAGTAGCAACAGGCTGCAATTCTTTGAATGCCTAGTACGTAACCTGCGTGCAATCAGTATTGGGACTTAGTTTATCAGCTTTGTCTTCAATGAAAGAATGAATTGTAAAAAAAGAACTAATGTTTTTGTTTTGTTTTTTTGCATACTTTTTAAGTATTTTAAATAAAAGCCGCGATTTACCTATACCTATAACCTCATAAAATAAATTTTTTCTTTTGCAGAGTTTTTAAATTTAAAATCTGTCTGTAACAATTGATTTCTGAGGAAAAATTAGCCATCGTAGGGTATTTCAAATTATCAAAGCGAATATCACGTCGCAGAAAACCATGGTGGATACATTAGCGTAGTTACAATATATATTTCGTCAGAATAAAATTGTTAAAAAATATCAAGTTGTAGCTGTGATCAAGTGCCACTGAATGACCCAAGGAGTGTAAATGATTGTGAATTTTTTTTTTAAATTAAGCAATCAAATATGCTCAAAATTCAATACCTAATAAATAATGTAAGTAAACTCGTGAAAATGAACTTTACGTGAATAAACTATGCATTTTAAGAGGCATCCCTGTTATGAAATCTTTCACACTTGTGGTCCGTAAGAATAACATGTCATCTGCTTCCACGGACTGACGGCAGAATCAAGTCAGATTCTTCTCGGTAACTGCGTAAGGTTTGCGTATACTGTAGTGTATCAGCTACGCAGTAACGCACTTATACTTATAGCACACTTGCTGCTGATTTGCTCCAGATGCGTACGACAGCTTTTTACGCAAGTCTTACGCGATGATTGTACAAATTTCAGACTAACTATCTAAACTCGAGTATTACAGAAATATTGTGCAAGACTTTATACCACTTATCTGACGTAAGTCTGCCATAAATTTATTGGAAGTGAATAGAGTTAATTGCTCTTTAAACAAGTATATTATCGCAATTCTTGTACGATAATCTGATGTACCTATCTGGCTCAAGTCTGCTGCCAATCCCCAGAAGTAGATAATAAGCAAGCTTTGCATGGACGCGTGATAATAGGGATTTAATATAATATTCTTTGGATTAAAAAATGTTGTAATAATTTTATGATCATAACGATATTCTCATAAATAATGATGCGATTTCTTAATCATATTGTTAATTTTTATTCCTCTATCCCTTTGATTGTACATGTTTCTTTTTTTATTAGTCTTTATAAACTGTCCTACATTTAGAAAAATATTTGTTGTCATGTTATGGCTTGTATTATTTTTAATGACTACAATATTTAATGATAACAATCGTATTACCAAAAAAGTTTTCATTGTTCTTTTTGAATAGACTTCCCTTCATTACTCTGTGTGCATATCCTTTATGAATCTGGCACCTTTTTTATTGTAGAAACAACGGAATTATAATAGAGATAGTAACTTTCTCATGTTTAAATAAACTAACACACGTATACGCACAGGTAGGCTCTTGCATGTAATAAAAAATATAACTTAAGACATGTTTTTCGCAATTAAGCACTCCATAAAGAATTTCAAACCGTACATCCCTAAGATGCAGCGGATATTTCACTTTCGTTTTACGAGAACTGCAGTAGATATTACACCCTTGTCACAAGTTTTTCAATAGTTTTGTATTTCCTCTATTAAAAAAAACCATGAAAACATGTAGTTTTACATCGCCGTTTCTATGTGGTTTGTCTTAAATCACCACATGATTTATAACATGTTGTTTTTCATACTAAATTTTTTAAGTGTAAATTTAACTTAAGTTAACTGATTTAAAAAAAATTACTTTATCCAAAGTAGGTAGTAAAAAATGGTATACTTAGAAGAACTTCTTTGTTTTTTAAAAAATCACATGGTATTCTTAAAAATCTCATGGTTTTCAAAACCACGTTATTCATAAGCCACCTAGTGATTGGAGACAAAAAACTATTTTTAAACGAAGTAAAATCCTAATGCAAGACATATGAAAACCACATAAAATTATGTGGTTTTTCCTTACGGTTTTTTGACATGGTTTTCTTCAACACAGTTCTATCCCATAGTTCATGGTTACAATGAATAACTGTATATTGAGTGCGCTTCAAAATAATAAGTAGGTTAATTTATTACATGTGTACCATTTTTCAATAATTATTACATTAGTACATTCATAAAACATTTTCTAGTTGTGCTTGCTAAGATAATAGAGTCGTAGGTCTATTGTTTACTGAAATGAATCATAACATACTCCAGTACCGCACTGTTTATTGGACCAGAATTCAACGAGAGAAAGTTCAACGTGAGGAATTCAACGTGAGGAAATCACATGAGTCAATATTGTGAAAAGTCTGTGTAAGATTATGGCATGGGAGCTCATGTAAGATCTCACATGAGTTCTCACGTGAGGTTTTGTACTAGGGGTAGCTTTTTTTTAAAAGTCGATTTTAGGGTAGAAGATGCTCAAAGTAGGCAATTATTCATTTTTTTCATGGTATATCTTTAAGTTGCGGCTGGTTTATAAATGTCACTACCATACTACCGCGCAACTCTTCACCAAAATGGAATATGACAAAAATATTGTGGATCTCTCCTAATCATAAGATTTCTCAATTCTGGTGAGAGTGACGGCTGGTTTAGATTTTTAACCACCTTAGAACCTCAGCTCTTGGTCTATCAACGCTCTTGCGAGTAGTAGGACTAGTATAGGTAGTATGAGGCTCTTTTACCGTCAAGCTTAAATCAGATGGCGCCAGAGCACGTCGCGGCTGTTATGGCCATCGCACTTACACACCGTCAAATTTACAGTTGTGTATTGTGTCCGTGAGCCTATCTGTGTGATGAGCAAAGCAGAAGACATAACCTTTGTAAATGATTGCTGTTGTTTGCAGACAATTTTTGTTTGCATTTACGTTTAAAGATAGTAGGAAAAATGAAGTGCAGTGTAATATCCTGCGATAAGAAAGTGAAATTTAAATTTCCTTCTGATAGTGTGATAAAAAAAAAGTGGCTCGAAGCAATTGGGAGACCAACATTTTTGCCGCTCCCAAGTCATGGCTTATGCCTCGACCACTTTGCCTCCACGAGTTCTGCTTTTCTTCCACTGACTCTTGCTCCTTTCCCTTTTAAAAGCTTTTTCAATTCTGAAACTTTTAAGCTCCCATAATATTCTTTCTTGTCTTCCTTATTCATTTCAAAATTTC